CTGCATCCTCGCCAGCATTTATTGTCATCTACTTTTTTGATCTTTGCTCTTATTGCTGGTGAGATGATATCTTATTTTTATTTTGATTTGCATCTCTCTAATGGCTAGTGATCGTGAACATTTCTTCATATGTTTGTTGGCTGGCCGGATCTCTTCCTTGAGGAAATGTCTGTTTAGGTCCTGTGCCCATTTTTTAATTGGGTTATTTGTCTTTTTCTTGTAGAGGTGTTGTAGTTTCCTATATATTTTAGAAATGAGTCTCTTGTCTAATGTGTCATTGCAAAAGATTTTTTCCCATTCTGTGGAGTCCCTTTTTACTCTTTTGGTGAAGTCTTTTGATGCATGTAAGTTTTTAATTTTTAGTATGTCCAACTAATCTATTTTGTCTACTTATTGTTTGTGTACTTTTGAAAATATGTCATAGTCTGTGTATTCCCTATATTAGAGCTCTCACATACGTCCCTATTTTTTCATTGATGACTTTCATTATTTTTGGAATCATTGTTAGGTCTTTAATCCATGCTGAGTTTATTTTTGTATAAGGCGTGAGGTAAAGTTCTTGTGTCCATCTTTTATATCACTCTCCAGTGCTGCTAGCACCATCTGTTAAAGAGACTATCTCCTCCCCATGTAACATACCTAGCCATTTTGTCGAACATCAGTTGAATGTATGTGGATGGGTTAATTTCTGGATTCTTGTTCCTGTTCCATTGGTCAATATATCTTTCATTGTATGAGTATAAGTCTGCTTTGACCACTGTAGCCGTGTGGTAGATTTTGAAATCTGGGAGTGAGAGACTTCCAATGTTGATCTTCCTCTTAAGCAATGCTTTGCTTATCCTGGGTCTCCTTCCTTTCCAGTGAAGTTTGTAAATGTCTTTTTCATCTCTTCAAGATTGTCGCCGGAATCTGGATTGGGATTGTATTATATCCTTTAACTTTTAGCCTATTTTGTTTTTGTGTGTAAGATGTGTCTCTTGCAGCCAGCTTATTGAAGGGTCTTATTTTCGTATCCAATTTCGTATCCAATCTGCCACTCCCAGTCTCTTCACTGGTGTCGTTAATCCATTAACATTCTTTCTAAATATCGATAGGTATAGAGGAGCTCTGGTAGCATAGTGATTATGAATTGTGCTGGTAACCTCAAGGTCTGCAGTTCAAAACTATCAGCTGTTCTGCGGGAGAAAGATGAGGCCTTCTGATTCCGTAACGAGTTGCAACCTCGGAAACCCTGTGCAGAGTAACTATGAGTCAGAACTGACTCCAGGGTACTTAACAACAACAACAGCAACAAATGAGTTAATTGCTGCCCTTATATTAATCTTTTGGTAGTGCTGTTCAATCCTTTGTTCTTCATACCTTCTTGTGCTGAGTTTGTGTTTTTTGTGCTATTTCTTGTCTATTTCTTGGTAGTTTTCACGTTTGTTTGGTTTGCTTGGAAGTTCATTTTCATGGTAAATTGTGAAGTATTAACTTAATTTGGGGTTACCTTAAAGTCTATTTACTCTTTTCTACCTTTAAGACAATCTGTTGTATCCTGTAATCTACCTGACCTCCTCACCACCTGGATCTTTGTTCCTACTTTTATCCCTTCTTTGACATTAATATTATTTTGATTTTCCATTGTCCTCTCAGCTCCTTTGAATTTGTTGTTGTAGTTTTGTTCTGGTCTGAACTCTGCTGTCAACTACATTCCAGGTGGTGTTGCCATGTCTGTCAATTTCTTGGTTGTTGTTTGTTCTTGTTGGTTTTCAGTCCAAAGAACTCCCTTTAGGATGTTTTTAAGT